AATTTTCTTGTTTTTCTTGGATTTTGTTCTTCTTATATTTTTTTAAGTTTTTCCTTAATCTCTCTCATTTGAATTTTAAAGTCTTTTTAAAGTTCTATGAATTCTTTTTGGGCAGGTGACCATTTGACATTACTCTTTGGGGTAGAAGAGGATTTCTTTGCTTTAGTATCCTCCTCTGAAGATGAACCCCAGTATTCTCTATTCCCATAGTAACTCTCTGTGGTTGGATTCTTTCTCCTTTGCCTGTGCATTTTTTTTCTTTGTAGTTTAGTTTTTGTAATCATCTCTAGTTCTGGAGTATTGGGTAATGGTCTCTGGCCTCAGATTGTCCTTCAGTTCTCTCTTCTGGCTTGGAACTAAAACCAAGACCTCCAACCTCCTGTAAGTGCCCACTGCTAGCAGCATCCCACCCTGCTACTTTTGCACTCACCCGGTGTTTATGAATGTTCCTTCTCACCCCCACCATTATCCACAGCAGAGCTCGTCTGGTGTTCTTTGTCACCAGAGGTTCACTCCATCTTCCCTGGCTTAGACACCCTGTACTCTTCACTGTCCCAGGGTAAAAGTTCCTGTGGCTGGGGCTGAGGCTGCTTCCCAATCCAGCTATCCCCAGGGCTTGCCAATTGTTTTTTAAGTGGTCCCTAGCTTGGAGGTGTTTACTCTTCACCCGGACCAAACCCCTTCCTGGATTTTTCTTCAGATATTCTCAGATTGTTCCCAGAAGGACCCCTTTTCTGCCACTTCTCTCATTTATTTTTACCTCTCTATGCTTGCCTTCATGTCCTATTTTTATGTCTTTTGTTGGGGGAAAATCTCGAGTGCTTGGAATTTTCTGACCTACTCCACCATCTTTCCAGAATCTTCTCTCAATATTTTTTTTAATGAAGGGAAAAGGACCTATTTGTACATACCTATCTTGACCCAACCTTTCTACTGATCTCCAGTCTCCCGTTTCCAAATACCTTTCAAATATCTCAAAATGGATGTCTAATAGACCTCTTAAACTAAACATATCTAAAAAAATTATTACCTTTCTCCCAAAACCCTGCCCTTCTCCTCCCTTGCCTTTTACTAAAGAGGGCAACATTATCATCCTAGTCCTTCAAGCTTACAACCGAGGAGTCATTCTAAACAATTCAATATATCTCAGCTCTCAGTTTGAACATCTCTCAAATATGCTCCCTTCTTTCTTCTGACGCTGTCACCACTCTGGTCCAGGCTTTCATCAGCTCATGCCTGGACTGTTGCAATAGCTTGCAGATGAGTCGGCCTGCGTGAAGTCTGTCTCCCTACTCCAATGCATCCTCCATTCAGCTATTAAAATGATTTTTCCTAAAGTGCAGTCACTGACGATGTCACTAGAGATGGTAAATAAATTCGTAGGAACTAAGTGAGCACCAAGTGACATTGTATAGAGGGAGAAGAAAAGAAAGCCCAGGATAGAACACTGAGGGACATCTATGGGTAGAGGTTATGATTTGACTGAGACTTCAGTAAAGGAGATGGAGAAGGAGATTAGGTTAGTTAGGTAGGAAGAGATCCAGGAGAGAATGGTGTCCTAATAACTTAGAGAGTATCAAATAGTAGAGGATAATCAACAGTGTCAAGGGTTCCTTTACGTGAAGAAATGTGAACACTTTAGGTATGCAAGTTTAGATTGTTAAGGTTAAAGACAAGTTGTCTTATCTTGAACGTGGGTGTTTTATATATATATATGTATATATAGTTTTGGCGAGGCATTTGGAGTTAAGTGACTTGCCCAGAGTCACACAGCTAGTGAGTGTTGTGTGTCTGAATCCAGATTTGAACTCAGGTCCTCCTGATTCCAGGGCCTGTGCTCTCTCTAACTGTGCCACCTTGCTGCCTCTCTACCTCTCATTTTCTAGTTTCTCTCTCCTACCTTCTCAAATCACCCTCAGGTTCAGGTAATTTGGTTTTGTTTTCAACTATTCCTTCTCCAGCATTATTTTCCCTCTTAATCCCTCCCCTTGCTTTTACCATTCTGGTAAATGGTACCATTTTACCATTTATTTCTATATTGAATTGATGTTTTTCTACACCAAATTGTGTGTGTGTGTTTGTTCTATTCAACCTTCCTTTGTCAGATAATATTGAGGCTCATCTGATGCTAACTCCTCTACGTTTTCCTCTACCTTTGTATATTATTCTCACACATACCAATTACGAGAAATTCCCAAAACTAAGCTTTATTTCAATCCTTATCCTTTTGATCTCTCTGTAGCATTTAAAATGCTTTCTTTTCTCTATATTCTCTTCCTGTTTATTTGACTACATTTTCTTTGTCTCCTTGGCTATTCTTCATCCATGTCACTTCTGCTAAATATTTGCTTCCCAAGGCTTTGTTCTGGACCTTTTCTCTTTTTTCTCTATACTGTCTCATTTGGTGATCTTATTTGCTTCCCTTGAGTTCAGTTATTATCTTTATGATGATGATTACCAGATATTATATAATCTCCCTAAGTTTTTGTGATTAGTTAGTTAGGTATTTTCAACTGCATCTTTGGTTTCTAAAACTGTATACTCTGTTTACATGCCACATTCAGTATGTCCAAATCAGAACTCATTATTTTTCCCAACAAATTGTCTCTTCTTTCCAACTTCCTTATTGTTTTGGAATCTGTCATCTTAGTCATTCAGGCTTACAACATTGGTATCGTCTTCAACTCCCTACTCTCACTCCACAGAATATTGTCATTTATACCTTTTTAGCATCTCTTGTATACATCCTCTTTACTTAAACAGTTACCACATTAGTTCAGACTGATATCACCTCCTGCCTACACTACCGCAATAGACTTCAATTGATTTGCCTGGCTCTTTCTGTTCCAGTCCATCTTCCATTCAGCTCCTAAAGTGATTTTCCTACAGAGTTGGTCTGGCTATGTCACCTCCCTACTCAGTCCATTCCAGTCATTTTCTCTTACCTCCAGGATCAGATATAAAGTCTTATTTGGTATTTAAAGCTCTTCATAACCTATCCCTTCCTACATTTCCTGTCTTCTTACTGTGTGTCTGTTTTGATGCTTTCATATGATCTAGCTATGCTGGCCTACTTTCTTTACTTCATATATGACATTCTCTCTCCTGTCTCTTATCTTTTTGTACTGTCTTTTGTCCTCATCCTTGGAATGTTCTCTCTCCTTACCTCAGCCTCTTATGTTCCCTGGTTTCCTTTATATCTCATTTCCAGTCCCACTTTTTATTAAGTTTCTCCTCCAATCTCTGCTACTCTGTTTATCATCTACTCTGTATATATCCTTTATGTACCTAACAATTTATTACATGGTATCTTTTCCATTATAGTGTGAGCTCCTTGAAGGTAAGGACTTTTTTCCCCCCCTTTAGTGCTTAATCGTAATGCCTGGCATTAAGTAAGAACTTAATAATTGCTTTTTGATCGACTGATTGATTGAACTAATATCTACCTCTCAAGTCAACAAGCAGTTATTTAGTGCCTACTGTGTGCCGGGAACTGTGCTAAGTGCTAGGGGTATGAAGAAAGACATAAAAACTGTCTGTATTCTTAAGGAACTCACATCTAATTGGGGGAGACAACATGTAAACAGCTATGTAAAAGCAAAATATATACTGGATATGTTGGAGATAATCACAAAAATAAGTCACTAGCTTTAGTGGAGATCAGGAAAGACTTCTTGTAAAAAGTAATATTTTAACCAGGAATTTAAGGTTCCAGGGAAGATAAGGTGTGGAAATGAGGAAAGAGACAGCTCCAGGCATGAGAGATATCCAATAAAAATGCATGGAGTTGGAAGATCAGTTTTTTATGCAAGGAGCAGTAAAAACAGTAAAAGAAGGAAGCATTACTGGATTGCAGAGAATATAGATGGGAGGGGTGTAAGGTGTAAGAACTCTGGAAAGGTAGGAAAGGACCAGATTATTTGTTGTTGTTCAGTTTCAGTCGTGTTTGACTCTTGTGACCCTATTTGGGATTTTCTCGGCAAAGATGCTGTAGTGGTTTGCCCAAAGTCAAGCAGATCATTTTATACTTAGTTCTGGCGGTAATAGGAAGTTTATTGAATAGCAGAATAACATGGTCAGACTTTTGCTTTAGGAAGATCAATTGACAGCCAAGTGGGATAATGAGTGTGAATACACTTGAGGCAGGGAGACCAAACAGAAGGTTGTCACTAGGTATAAGGTGATGCGATCTTGTACCAGGGTGGGCATTTTGTGAGAGGAGAGATATTAGAAAGATATAATCCACCAGTCTTAGCAACTGATTGCACATGGTGGGTGAGAGAGTCAAGAGTCAAAAATGACATCTACTCTGTTAGCTTGTGTAATGAGAGGTTGGTTGTGCCCTTGGAAGTAATAGGGAAGTTAGGAAGAGGAGAGAGGGTTGTGGGGGAATAATAATCAATTTGGTTTTAGATATATTGAGTTTAAAATGCCTGCCTACCACCTTTTTTGCTTTTTCTTTTAGGTATGAATTTTTATTTTTAAGTAAATAGTATATTTCTTCTTTAATATTGTAGTAATTTTTCATGAAATTAAATTTTGGAGTTAAATTTTTGTGTTTTTTTTAAGCAAATATTTTTAATTTATTCATGTACACAGTTTTTTAGCAGTTGATTTATAGCATCACAGATCTGGAACTGAAAGGAAACTCAAAAATTATCTAGTCCAGCCCCTTAGTTTTGGGGAGGAAACTGAAGGAGGTTAATTGACTTTCCCAGCATCATAAAAGTTCTAAGACATGAAGTTGGGATTTTAACCTAGATCATCTGAGTCCAGAGAAAGTGCTATTTTTAATATTAAATTTTTTTATTTTAATATTAAATTTCAAATTTTAATACTAAATAATTATTTAATTAATAAAACCAATATTAATTTTAATTAATTAATTGTTTAATTGATGATTTAATATTAATTTTAATATTAAATTTAAATTTTAATGTTAAATTTTTTAAAGAAATGTTACTCTAATATGCATATTCTAATTACAGAATTTTTTTTAGGGTACTTTTCCTCATGGAATTGATATTTTGACTACAGCTGACTATTTTGCTGTTGGTAACCGATCTAATTGCTTCCTTAATATAAGGTAAGTTTGTACAATTTTTCACTTAAAAATATAAAAATAATTGTGGTAAGGAAAGACAAATTCCCTTATTCGCCATGTTTAAAAAAAATCTTGTTCCATACTTTGATTCCTTTATTTCTTTCTTGGAGGGTGGGATAGCATGTGTCATTATTAGTCCACTGAAATTCTGATTGGTCATTGTGTTGTTCAGAGTTCCTAAGTCTTTCAGGGTTGTTTATCTTACCAGTATTGTTGTCATTGTATACTTTTTTTTTCTGCTTTTCACTTCAGTCTGCATCAGTTTATGCAAGTCTTCCCAGGTTTCTCTGAAACCATGTTCTTTATCATTTCTTCAAGCACAATGTTCTTTCTTCAGATTTATATACTGTAATTTGTTCAACCATTCTCCAATTGATGGATAACCCCTTAATTTCTAGTTCTTTGCCACCTCAAAAAGAGCTATAAGTATTTTCATACATACTTATTTAGAATTTGTTTTACTTGGGACTAATCCCTCCTTTAATTACCTTTCCTCTAACTTTTCCTATTTCTTCTCCCATTTCCCTTCTGTTTCCTTATTGAGTGAAGAGCTTTTCTGTACCCAACTCTGTGTGTATATGTGTGTGTGTGTGTGTGTGTGTGTGTGTGTGTGTGTATGAGTGCATATGCATATGCTTTTACACCTATTTGTCTGTCCCTTGACCAATTCATTGAGAATGAGATTCAGATTTCAAATACTTCCTCCATCACTTCTTTGTTGGTATAGACTTCTACTTCCTCACTCTGATTTTATGTGAGATAATTTTCCCTAACATTCTTTTCCTTTTCTTCCCTTAGTGTATACCTCTTCCTCTTTCTTTCTTTTATAATCAACAACATATTACAGAGTCATTTCCAGGCCTTCTGTCTAAATTAGACCTCTCTATGACCTGTAATGATAGCGTTTTGAGGGGACACATGTATTATTTCCCCATTTTAGAATGTAAGCAGTTTTTCCTTGTTTAGTTTCTTGTTCATGCATGTTTACCTTTTTCTATTTCTCTTGACTCCTTTGTGCTTCTAAATTTCTATGTGGTTTTGGTATTTTTCTCAGGAATGGTTGAAAATCCTCTATTTCATTAAAGGTCTCTTTTTTCTCCTATAGTATTATACTCAATTTGGATAAGTTGTTCTTAGTTGTAAGCCTATATCTTTTGCCTTCTGGAATACCACATTCAAAATTCTCTATTCCATTATAGCGGTGCCAAATTGTGTGTTTTTCTGATTGTGGCTCTTTGTTATTTGAATTCTTTCTTGCTGTTTGCAGTACTTTTTTTTAGACTTGGAAACTCTGGATTTGGCCATCCTCTTCTTGGGAATTTTCATTTGGGAGTTTATTTATAGGTGTGACTGATGGATTTTTTCTTCTTTCTTTTTACCCTTTGATTCTAAGAGGTCTGAGTTGTTTCCTTTTATGATATCCTGAATGTATTTTTTTTTTATGAAGGCTTTCACTGATTCTTAAATTATCTTTTTTCCATCTATTTTCTTGGTCGGTTGTCTTTACCATCAAATATCTTTTATTTTATTTAATCTTTTTTTCAGTTTTTTTTGACTCTAGTAATTCTTATGTTATAGAGTCAGTAGATTTATTATAATTTTCAAGGAGCTCATTGTTTGGGCAAGGTTTTATTTATATCTCTTGCTGCCTGTTGATAATTTATTTTCCAGTTCTTTATTCTATAGCTTTCATTTATATTTCAGTTTTTCCTCTAATGTGGATATTTAATTTATAAAAATATTTTAACTTTTTAAAAAAACTTTTGCCTTATATAGCAAGGAATTTTAGTTGAATGTTCCCAAGCTGTATTTTCCTTTGAGTCTTTGCTTCTAAATGTTTTGAAGTCATTCTCTTCTAGAGAGTGTCTTGGTAGTCTCTGCCATCATCTTTATGATGATGTCCTTTTTTTGTTTGCTTATTCTTCTAGCTTTCTTTCTCACTTTGGACTTCATATTAGGTCCAGGCTCTGTATTCTTTTGGAGGGAATGCCTGGACTAATATTGCTCTTGTTTTCTTGGGGATACTGACTGCTATATTATTTCAGGACAGGTCAGATTGGGGACCTGCAAGCTTTTAGTGCTCCCAAAGGGGTTTGATTCAGGGCAAAATCTGATTGGTCTTTTGGTCTGAATTTTGCAAATTCATGACTTGTGTTTTGGTAATGCGCAGTAGGCCTTTAGGCTTGCATGTTTGGAGTTTCACTGAACTGCTGCTGGACTTAGTCACTATCAGAGAGCTGGAAAGTTCTGCTGGTTCAGGGTGACAGACCTGTAAGCTCTGTTTTGGTCTGAGATTAAATGTCTCAGTTATTCTTCTGTAGGCTTCAGACTAGTCTGGAATCTGGAAACTGAGACCCTATTCTGTTCCTGGAGTTGAAGTCACACAGTTGTTTCCTTCTGAGTTTTCTTTTTGCTTAGTACATAGTTTGCTTCTGCCACCACTTCTGTCCCTGCAGTGCCACCAATAGATGCAGGTCTGTGATTTGACCAAATCAGCTCCGAGTCTGTGTCCTGTAACAGGGTAATTGTGACAAACCTTCAGTTGGCATCTATTTCTGCAAGTTACCCAGCTTTAGGCCCCTATATTAGGTGTCTAGGATGTCTTCTTGCTCTGCTGGACAACTTCTCCCTGTGCTGCAATCATTATCCTGTACCTAGCTACAACCTGTCCTTGACATCTGTCTCCTTATGCCAACATGAGCCAGGAAAATGACTTAACTGTGGCTTTTCTTGTATTTCTTTATTAGTGTTCTAGTACCTTCTTTGGATTTGTTTGGAAGAAGTTTTTTGTAGGGGGAGGTTGGAGGGAGGAACTTCATTGTACTTCTTATTACTCCATCTCCAATCTGGGGAGGTAGTGGAGTGTTGGGGTAGAGTTTTTTTTAATGTTCATTGGTAGTATTTATTGTGTCAAAACAAAATGAATCACTGCACATGATTTGACAATGCTAAAAATTGCTTTGGACACTGTTACCTGGAACATTATTTCATATCCATTTGATATAATTATTTCTGTTGCATTTTATTTATTATTTCTACAGCACATTCTGTAGAACATGAATTGCATTCTCTACTCCCCTACCCTCACCACTTTCCCCCCAAAATGTATACTCCTTGAGGCCAGGGAATTTTTGTCTTCGTGTTCAACACCATGTCACTTTTTAAGTGTTTGATGAATTGCATCTTAATAATCCATTGTGATTCTGATTGTGAGGAGAGAGCTTACTTACATTTTGGAACTGTATTTGTACTCTCTGTAATTATTGGGCAAGGTAACTTGTGATAGTCTATATAATTAATATTTTTGTCACTCTACAGGAATTTATCTCACAAATAAACAAAAATAGTTGAAAGCTTTTCTCTCCCATTTGTGTGGCATTTCTGCTGAATGTTATGAACATATTGATTCTCTCAAGATAAAATATAAGAATGGAAAGTGTCAGAAACAATTTTTCTGCATGATCAAAGTTTGTAGACACCTGGTATAGAAGTTTTAGTTCGAAGATTTATGGGGTAGTTCCCTAGCTTGGTCACTGCTGTTTCTTGCGGTCAAGCACTTAGATAATTCACTCATTTGGTCTGGATTGTTTTTTTCTTAAGGTCCACTAAGGACCTGTGAGATCTATAAACTAAAAAGTTGCCACCACCACCCCTGCCCTGCATCTCATTGTTGCCTTTTCTAAAGTGTAATTATTTCCCAGGTTTTACTGGAAGACAGAATTTCTTTATTTTGTGCTGGTTATCTTACTACCAAGCAAAACATACCTTATTTTTGTTTTTTTTTTTCTCTTATAAATTTGTTGTAGAATATCTAACATGTTTTCATTATTACCTTTCACATTTCATTCTTGTTTATTGTATAATCTTTATCTCAGAGTTTAGAATAACAGACTCATAGGATCTAGTCCATTCTGTACACATGAGAAAGCAAAGGCCTAGAGAACTGAAGTGGGCCTGAGAGCTCATTTTAAGTAACAGAGACAAGATTGGAATACATTTCTCTTGAAGTCTAGTCCAGTGTTCTTTTCCATTTTATCCTCTGGTTTCTTCATTCTAATCCTGCTTAAAATTTTGAAACATTAGTTGAATTCTACCTTTTATGAAGCTTAAATATGATGGTATATGTGCATACATATGTGCATAGTGTACCTTAAAAATAGAGTGCCCAAAAGAATTGGAAATTGAGGGGATGCCCATCAGTTGGAGAATGTCTGAACAAGTTGTGGTATATGAATGTAATGGAATGCTATTGTTCCATAAGAAATGGTGAGCAGGCAACTTCAGAAAAACCTGCACAGACTTATATGAACTGATGCTGAATGAAATCAGCAGAACCAGGAGAACATTGTACACAGTAACAGCCACACTGTGCGATGACTGACTTTGACAGACTTGGGTCTTCTCAGCAATGCAAGGACCTAAGACAACTCCAAAAGGCTCATGATGGAAAATGTTATCCCCATCTAGAGAAAAAACTATGGAGTCTCAATGCAGATGGAAGCATGCTATTTGCTCTCCTTTTTCTTTGTTGTTTCGTGTGCTTCATTCTCATGGTTCCTCCCATTGGTTCTAATTGTTCTTTACATCATAACTAATAGGGAAATAGGCTCAATATGATTGTGTAAACAGAGCCTGTGTCAGATTGCACGCTGTCTTGGCGAACAGAGAGGAGAGAGAGAGAGAGAAAATTTAAAACTCAAAATCTTAAGGAAATAAATGTTGAAAACTAAAAATAAATAAATTATTTAACAAAAGGAAGTAGGAAAGTTTAAGCCAAAAAGGTAAAATATAAGCACATTATATTGAATGGAAATATATTGCCATACACACAAATCTTCTGGTAGTCAAAGAGATTTTAGCAGTGGTCTAAAGTTTATAGTGGTTCTTTAATTATTTTGAATTTTAAAAGAAATTTTGTTTCCTATATTTTAAACTATGCCTAAAAGGTAGAAGAATGAAAAAAATATAGAGTGCCCAGTTTT